GCGAAGTACAAAAAAAATTTTCGCGCAAGGGAAATTACATTTTAAAAAAATTCTTGCACGCCAATTAATTCTAAAAAATATTCATGCTATGGCTTAAAAACAATTCATACAAGGAATTTGATAGCGAAAAAAAATCCTGCGGCTCGAAAATTCCCCTCCCCTCCCATAACTTTTCTAATGGTCCGTCCCTTACTGATATGAATTAAGATTCCTAGCCTCTCAACTCGCCAGCCTATGATCTTGATACTCATTCAATCATTTGTCATGTTCCATTTCAGTGAAGTGGATGTCACTTTCCCCTCTAAGCAGACCTACTAACCACGTTTTATATCGATTCGCTGCATTGGTATTGAGCCATATTCAGTTGCAAAGGATTACCATGGTAGTTTTGACACACAAAACTTTCAACTTAGAATAGTATTCTTCGCTGCCCACAAGTTAGACCGGGTCTGCCAAATTGGTACGCATGATCATGAGAAGGGAAAACCTTAGGGCGTAGCCCCCTAAGAGAGAATAATAGGATGCTTAAACAACGACGACGGCGACGGTAACGAGGACGGCAAAAAAGCAGCAGGTGTACATTAGCAAAACAACAACTTTGCACAACGTGCATCCCGCTTTTTGGTACATTTCTTAGGCATCGTTTGTCGAGGATGGGCGGAACAAAAGACAACAACATTCTTTTTCTTTTTTTAAACTTTGATACAGTCCTTTAGAATTTAACTCCAAAAACATTTGCCAACATTTGACGAATTAAACGAGATGGAATAAGCGCGATTAAGTTTGACGCAGCGCGAATACACATTTTGAGTGACCTTTTCGTAGCCGTCGGCCCGTCGCCGTCGTTTTATTAAAGCTCCCTAATAAGTCAAAAACAACGGAGAAGCGTTACCTTTTAGGGCCGATGATGCTTGGGAAAGAGAAGCCTTGGTAAAGTCGCGTTTAAAACATTCCAACAAAGTCAAGTATTTTCAAAATTCGACCTTTCTTTTTCTTTGAGGGTTTTTATGCTTAGCGCGGAAGCCAGTTTTCTTTCCGTGTCCGTGACCCGTGACCCGTTGCGTTACGCATAGCAGCCAAGCTCAAGACTAAGTGCATCATTTGCGCAGGAGCCGGTTACTCCTGATTTCCGCTACTTGAGTATACCCGAGTACAAAACTAACAAGGGATGAATTCCTTTCTTAATTAAAACGATACACACACCAAATAAGGGCTCCGGGTAGTATACAATCTGCGTTGAAGTTTGAGACAAACTGCTGTGCACTACGTTTCAAGACTGTTCATTTGACACCAGTCTTACTGGGTTACCTGTTACGTTTCCGCGTGGAGATAGAGAAGATTGATCTGGCACAAGGGGAGTATTGCGTTCGCGTGATCTGCGTTTCTAAGTTCGTCGTGATTGCATGTGGGCGACGTTTTTCTCGCGGTTGGTTCATTTTATAAAAGGTAAGGACAAGTAACAAATCTTTATCAGATTTTTGCTTTGATGTTTGCGTAGCTCACTCTCCAGTCTTGGCTTGAATTTCGTCACTCCATATAGACAAAGTACTTGCATGTCTGAGGTTTAGAAAGATCTACGTCCTCTAGGCGAGTTTCAGTAAAAACTTGCTACAACTTAATTACTTATGTAACCTTCCTTCCAACTATAAGCTAGCCCCGATTGATTTTGAGACGCATATTTCCCTCCCAGTACAACAATTAAGCCTAGCCAATTTTAAAACGCAAATTTCCGATTATAAGCACCTCCAAAAATAGGACCCTCAAAAAGGGCTTTGAAAAATATAAGCGCCGGGGCTTATTTTCGGAATTTTACGGTATTTTTTCTAAGATTGTAGACACATTCGAGGTGGGGCAACTCCGTCCGGGAAAGCCCTGGGGACGAGGATAGCTGGGGGTTCCAACATGAAAGGGATTCGATGAAAATGTTCGCGGTATTGCTTATTGATGAGGGATGAAGTGCACATTTTGGTCTCATATAGGGTGTTTTAAGGACGGGTAGCTTTATATTTTTACAAAATTTTAAAAATCACACTGCGTTGAAGGAGCAATGACAGAATGGAACCACCCTGTCCAATCTAGATATTAGTTGCCGGAGAGTTACTGAAAGATTTTGTTCTCATCTTGGCAACGGTCTTTATGCTGGTTTATTTGAGCTGTTTACATTACTTACGTACCGTTAACTATTTACACACCAGCTAACTTACTTATTTCTTCTTGATACCAAAGTATTTGTTTAGAAGTAGGAGTTGATTATGAGTTAAAGACCGAAAAACAAAACTGACGGAAAAAAAATAAGTCGGTGGCAGACTATCGCGTAGTTATTCTAAAAAAGTATTTAAACACTTAACATTTTACATATGGCAACTAGGAATTTAAATTAGACCAGGAATTTAAGACTTCTATTAATCTGATTATCTCTTATACCCTGCTTCCAGTCTTTCCTTAGTTCATGAAAACAAAAATCCCTGCACATTCCCACGATGATCACCAAACAACTCTCTCACTAGGCCTGCATTACAGCCGGTAAATAGGCCGGTTTTAAATTTTCAAAATTCATTATTACTTGGCTCCACGGCTGAGGAGAGTAAAACAAATTAAAACAAATTAATATTAATAAAATCGACAATCGAATTAATTATTAATAAAATCGACACGATGATCCGCTAACTCGAGTCCAAGTCATTCCTATTTTTCTTTCGGGATCATTTGCGGTCGACTTT